CAATTTGTGCAAAAAACAAAGAACAACATTTTAGACTACTGAACGAAGCCGAAGAATATTTAAAAGCATTAAAGATAGAAATAGTAAAGACTTATAAAATAAAGAAAATAAGTACAACCATCATTTATCAAAAACCGATCACTGAAACTAGAAATAAAACAGGATTTATTCGGTTAATTATTTGTATTAACAGTTTAGCTTCTGACAGAAACTATTACGCTCGTATTTGCTTGCAGTGTTTCAAAAGTTGCATGTATGCATAAAATATTCCAGTGCCTTGAAGGGCACTCCTTGGAGCAACCGCCCACTTATAATCATCGGATATTTTTGGTAAGAAGTGTGATTGAAGAGTATGTTAGTCTGCATCTTTATTATAATTCAAAAAAGGAGTCGTACATCAAAACTAAGAGACAAGTTTTTAATAAACTGACACTTTTTAAAGGTACATGATATTTTGCCAATACATTTAAAATTATAAATAGAGAATTTTTATATAATAAACCTGCAATTTATGATAATTTCAATTGTTTATGTCTTAACCTTATCCTTACTGAAAAGTTCAACTTACTTAACAACTTACTTACCAACGTATTTCGATGATAGAAGATATACTTTGATCTTCCTGTCTAATTCATTTATTTCATAGAGCAACACGGAAGGGAGTAGCCATAGCGACATAATACTATAATTTTCATTCCCGCGCTCAAATTATCTGTATTCTGTATGGTTGCAACCTCTTTTAATATGCAATAAAAAACGGGTTTTACTTTCTATCGACAGCTGTGCCCTAAGCACGAACTTTGACAGATCCGTAAACGTATCGCCACCGTCAAAGTTGCTATGGAAACTAAGCAGCGAAGCTACCGAACGTAAGAACAAACTTGCTCTTTCCATAGAAATTTTGACGATTTCGATACGATTACGCATCTGTCAAAAGTTCGTGCTTAGGGCACGGATAAGTAGCGATACTGAATACTTTGAAACCCGAAAACACTACTTTTTAACTTAATACTTTTCAATGCTTTTTTTCAAATTCTATCATATAATACTATTATTATTGTAATTTTATTGCATTTTATTATACAACTGATATTTAATTATACTACAATAATAATAAAATAATAAAAGCCGCTATGAATATGAATCCATAATTTTGAGCCTCGGCACGCACACATAACATATCGAATACGCGCGCCCACATTCGCCTATTTTGGAGCACGTAAATGTGTGCGTGAAACGAACAGTCAAGTAATACGACTGTGCGCGAAAAAAGGATAGCAGTACATTGCTAGCGATCTCTTGAAGCTGAACGGTAATATAACACGCGATACACACAATACTAATGTCGCGCCGACGCATTTAGTAATAGTTAAAGTATAAAGGTACTGTATCTAGTCTTTCTGTGATCGAAGGTTCAATATCATCCCTTTTGTTAGTGTTTTGTCCATCTGTCTCGCCACCACCACTATCACATGGTGAGTTATTATCACCAACACCAGCTTGTACCTTATGCGAAACTACATTTTCAGATCGTGTGTTGGAATTTGTGTTAAGCTTAGAATTTAAAAAAAGATTAAACGCCGAAACGTGCTTTTGTTTTAAATGACTTTTTAAATTAGTTATTGTCGTTTTATATGACAACTGCGGCCGTCAATGATTACAAATAGCAATTTTGCTACCATCTGAGGACTTTTCAAAAAAGTTCCAAATAGATAAAGCAACTCCACCGCTAGTCATTTTTGTTTTATAAAAGTATTGTCTTAAACTGAAATTATAATTACAATATTGTTTTGAATATAACTAATATTAACACTATTTTACACATATAAACATGTCACAAACACAAAATCTTATACAAGAAATAATATTAGAAAACACGCAATTTATTTATCGCCCGCGATAATAAATATTTTTCTGCTGCGACGCGACGTTGCGAAAATTAACGGTAACGAACCGCTGCTAACAACGCGCACGCGATTACTGGCTGGCCTGCCTAGTAGCGTTGCGTCTAGCGCCTCCCGCTTAGAGTTGTTCAAAGTAGTTATAAAGCAATAGCGTGCTGCAAACTACACACATCAAAAGTGTCTAGGGATCAACATATATTTTTGCAATAACTTTTCTCCTGATTGATATTAATTAAAATTTTCTTTAAGGATTCATCAAATAAAGTGTTTTCGTTTGTCACAGTAACGATAAACCAAGTCACCTTTGCATTAATAAAGAAATTTGCCATTTTCCTAATAAAGGGATTTTTGACATTTGAACCACTAACACAAAAGTTCGAAAAAAAGACTGAAATAACAGTTTTCTCTAAAATTTTATTGGGTAACTTAAACAATTAATAATCCATATTTCTACCGCGAACACTAACAACACAAGAACATCGGTTTGGCATACTCAAAATGAGTTCATCCAAATCACGCTGTGGAATGGCCGCCCATGTTCGTTGCAACAACAAAAAAAGGTCTTCTTGCGACTGGATACCCTCCATATTCGGCAGAGCTCTTCTCTGTAGCATATCCCATGCATGCTCAATCGGGTTCAAGTCTGGCGACTGAGCAGGCCAGGGCAGGACATTGATGTTAGCTGCGGCGAGAGTCTGTCTTACAACTCTTGCGGTGTGCGGTCGTGCATTATCATGCATTAACTGAAATAAGGGACCGATTTGCACTTGTAGAGGAACGATGACGTCTGATACAATCGTCTCAGCATAAATTTGAGCGTTGAGGTTGCCTCTGATCCAAATCAACTCAGTTCTTCCGCCGATCCAAATACCCGCCCATACCATGATGGTTCCACCACTATAAGGATGGACTTCCTGGCAGGATTTTAATCGCTGTTGGCGTCCAGGGGTTCTCCAGTGTCGTATACGTATTGTATCCGGTCTCATACCAAAACGAGACTCATCAGAAAAGCACACGAAACGCCATTGTTCTTCTGCCCAATTTCTGTGTTCAAGAGCCCATTGATATCGAATCCTACGATTGTGCATTGCTATAGGTGGTACCCGTAGCGGTCTTCGGGAATGAAGGTTCACTTCATGCAAGCGGTTTCTGACTGTTTGGTCGCTAATTAAGTTCCCTGAAGAGTGATGAAGCCTCACGGCTAACATCATGGCGGTTATTGTTGGAGCTCTTCGAGTTAAGATTTGAATTTATCGGTCTTGTCTCCGTGTGGTGCAGCGATACCGTCCTCCATGGCGCTCAGCCACGGTACCAGTGCTTCGGTATCGTGTCCAAAGTCGACTGATAACACTCTGACTTGTATTCAGAGTTAAAGCCACAGTACGTTGCCGGGAACCAGCTTCTATCATTCCCACGGCTCTGAGCATTTCTTCCCTGCTTAAATGACGTCGCCGCTCCATAATAACGTTGGTTTTAATCAGTAGTAGGGAAACAGTAGCACTAATAATGTCTTCAATGCGTTGTATGTTTTTATAGGGAAAATATTGACAGCTGATTTTCATCTTTTACTCGAATTTGATTCACAGTTCCTGATTCAAATTATGAAATGCACCAAAAAGGATCCATATAAATTTATAAAATCATAAATTTATTACAAAGCCACATCTCAATCTCAAGAAATCCGCATAAAAATGCTAGATCCCTAGACACTTTTGATGTGTGTATATGGTACTTTTAAAAAGCGCGCTTTTATATACGCTATCTTAATAGCGCGCTATTTACTTTGAAGCTTGTGGCGGTCCGTTGGCACGTTAAATCTTGAAGCACGCTAGATGCTAGATATCGTTGAGTTTTATTATGTATTGCGTCACAATCTCGCAGGGTCCCGGGTTCGATCTCCGGTCGGGTCAACTAATACAATTACTATTTTTACTTCTTCTATTTATTTTCACACGTCTAGATTATTGTTGTACCGCCATTTTTTCCGAGTCCCTTGGCACAAAAGCTTTTAGCTAACTAATTTTAAATATTAACTATGTATGTGATATTTTTCAATATTTATTTATTTTGATATCGTCTTTTATATATGCAGTTGTTAATAGTTTATTTCGTGGTCATTATCGTTAGACAGCTTATATCTAATCTTCATATTAATTAAATATTTCGTGCTTTTTTTATTTTTTAGTGCCGCCATCTATCGCGAATTTGCAGCATTTCTATATATTTACTGCTATCTATCGTAAAAGCAAGAAAGTGTTTTTGTAAACAATCAACGCCGAAATCTCGCGGGGTCCCGGGTTCGTACCCCGGTCGGGTCAACTTTTATAAGTTAAAAATTATTATTTTATATTTTCTTGGGCCTAGCTGATAGTTTTATTGTCGTTATTTCCGATTTCCTTGATACAAAAGCTTCAGTAAACTCATTTTGAATGGTAATATTATTATTACTAATTACAATTATTGTGTATATCATGTTTTACATTATTTATTTAATTGTTATCGTCTGAAATGTTTATTATAGTTTATTTCTTGCTCGTTATTCGCTACAAAGCTTCTATCTAATCTTCGTAAATAATTTCACTGTTTTATAACGTTTTAGTGTCGCCATCTATAGAGAAAATAAAGCTTTTTTTGTACGATTACGGCAGTGCTTCTGTTGCAGGACTAGCATGTGTGCTTTTAAATTTTCTGGCCATTAAGATAGTTTGCTTAAAATTCCTTAGATGGAGCGTGCGATTGCAAGGACATTTATGAAACTTTGTTGTATATGGAATAAAGCTTATTTTTGTTTGAGAAAAATATAGCTGAAATAGTATATTAATGTTTCATTTAAAGTGATTAGTATATTAGTTATAAAATGATATCGGTATAGCAGTAAATGAACACCAATGAACTCTCCTTCATACTTTTCAGGCTTAGGACTGTCTGTAATGTAATCGTTATTTTAAACAACAATGAAAATTGTGAAGCAGATTACAGGCGTATTTAAAAGTTCATTGGTTAAATGTACAGAAATCAACTATTTACATATTGTTCATATTTTTTTTTGTCAACCACCTTTATTTACACCTATTATTTTAATTATTTTAGTAATATTTATATTTTATTTACATTTAAAAACATTAATTGGGCTACTTTTGTTGTAGATAACCGTGTTCTTCGATCACTAATAGTGTATCCTGATTTTGAAAAAATACGTTCACATGGTACTGAAGTGGCCATGATGTTGCAATGTTTTAAAAATAATTGAAACAATTCGGGATAAATAAATTTATGCTCTCGCCAGTACTTTAGCGGACACTCCGTTCTTTTTATTAGATTGTCAGCTAAATATTTTTCCAACTTTTCGGCAGCCTCAATATCTGGCCTCTTTTGTACAAATTCTTTATCGGTTTCGGTGTCAAATTGGGACCACAGACTGAAAGTTTGTGATGGCACAAGATCAACAGCTGATGTTGCCGGTTCAGATGATGATGGTAGTAAAGGTCCGCTATAATTCATTTGAGGTTGATTTTTCTTATGTTTGTTCAAACTTTGCTGTTTCACAACAGCAAAGTTTGAACAAAATCATACTTACTTTTTATTATACTTTGCTGCTAAGTTAAGTTACTATTTAAGATTTGGGAAATTAAATCCTACATAATTATAATGTGTAAAAGTATTAAAACTTGATTTTGGTCTTATAAATATTATATGATACTGAGTTGATCATACATAAATTATTTTTAAAGTAGTAAAAGTAAAATTTAATATATATTTTATGTATTATTTTCTACCCTCTTTTTAAAATATCTATCTATTTCTTTTCATAATCATTAATTACTCTGTTTGCTGTAAATATTACTGTAAAAAGAAACTCATATTCTTTTATTAATTTCAGCTTATTGAATTTTATACACAAATAACAATGATGACCCGCAAAGCTGCAGTTCAAAGTACAGAGCTTAAATTGAAGCAAGCCCTGGAAGAACTCAAGCTAACAAAGGAAACTTGTTGCCAGCTACTTCGTGAACGTGATGAGGGTGAAGCGGAAATAGAGAAAAATATTCAAAGGAACACCCAGCTTAAGAGCGAACTATCCCAACTTCACTCAGAACACATGGAAGTGATTCTTCAACGAGACCATCTTAACGACACTGTCAACAGCTTTGACCAGCAGTCCAACACATATGAGAGGGCTCTTCAACGTATCACAGACCTAGAAAAGGAACTTATTGATGCAAATAACCAACTAGCACATTATAAAGAAATTCAACAACTCCAGGAAACCGCGCATACACAGAGCCTTTTTGAGGAATTAATGGCATCTCCCGCAGCGCCCTTGACACAATATTAACAGCCTATTGTTTATGAGAACACTGCTGTACAAAACTGTGTAACTGGCAAGAAAAATCTAAAAAAGTATATTCGCATTAGTAAATTTATAAAAAGAACAGGAAAGTAGTATAAAAAGTACAGTAAGTAATTAAAAGAAATAATTGTTTTCATAAAAATATAGCATTAAGGAAGGAAAGAATGGACCTTATTGATTATATAGATATATATAGTTCAAAGTTGACTGAGAGTAGGCAGGTGTACGACAATGATACAAAGAAATTACATTTAGAGATTCAATATTTACATAAGTCACTAGAAACATTATCCAACAAATATTCAAATGCACAAAAACAAATAAGTGAGCATATAAAATCAGCTTCAGAATTAGTTGAACTATGCAACTACAATGCAGAACGTTATGAGTCTTTATTAAAAAATCAATTAATTAGTTCTTTAAATCAATCTTCCTTGCAATCAACATCATCTGAAATTATAGAGGTCGTTAATAATAATAATAATTCTCAAACAGTTAAAAATTTTGGTGGTTCATCTGTCTGTTCTGGGTCAACTTGCAAAACATATAACAACTCCCCTGTGAGGTCAATCTGCACTACATATAGTACCTCTCGTTTCAAACCAGTGCTATCTGATAACACAACTAGCAGTAAAACAATTATGCTCTCAGATAAGTTAGGATGTGGCTTTGGATTAATGTTAAGGAATTATTGTAATCAAAGAATTACTAATATATGTATGCCAGGTAAATCAATAAATGACATTGTAAGTGAACTGAATCAGTATGATGCGGACAGTTTGACAAACATAGTTATTATGTGTAGTGACAGCTCTAAAATAAGAGCAAGAGATATGTATAGAAATATAGAGGTGCTACTTAACTATCAGTCTAGGTGCAAGTGTAAAATAATAATAAGCGCTTTCCCACATGCAGAAAATCTAACTGGGGAACAAAACAAGCGCATCTTTAATTTGAATTTAATAATTTATAATTTATTAAATAGTCATAGTGACAATTTTTTATATTTTGATATAAATAAATATATTAGTAAATTTAAGTTGACCACAGATACTATGTATCTTGCAAAAAAATATAAGACTCAGATAGCTATTTTGTTAGCTTTTAATATACAAAACTCAGTTATACATGGTATAACAAAGTCTATACAACTGGATTGTTTTAGTATCAGCACTAATCAAATTATTAAATTACAAAATAGGGTGACCAACTCAAATTTAAACTGAGGGGTACGACAACAGCCAAATCCAACAAAATTAATATTATTTATAAGAATATTCAAGGGTTGGCTGGCAAAGATTTAGAATTAGAACTTTTTGCAAAGAGCCAGGATATTCATGTTATCTGTTTATCTGAACACTGGCTTAAGTCTTCTGAGGTGTCTTTTAGCATAAACAATTTTCAAATGATAAGTGCATATTTTCGTACTGCAGCTATACATGGTGGCACATTAATTTTTGTAAATAAAAATAATAAAAACTAGGGATAGGAAGGACATAGTTGGTCTCTCAGTAGAACGTATTATTGAGCTATCCTGTGTTGAATTCAATGAATTTATTATAGTATGTGTATACAGACCCCCTCTAGGCAACATTAGTGATTTTGAATCAGTGATGGAGAATGTTCTAAAAAAGTTAAAGTCTATAAATAAGTTTTTGGTTGTAGTTGGTGACTTCAATATTAACATTCTTGAAAATAATTCAATGTCAATTCGCCTAACATTACTATTCAAATGTTTTAATTTGGTACATCAATTTTTTGAGCCTACTAGAGTAACATCTCATTCAGCTACTTGTTTAGATAATATATTTACTGATTATAATCCAGTTAGTAAATCAATTATTAATTGTATCACATCAGATCATTACGGCTTAAAAATAACGTATATAATACAAATGACACTACTAAGCCCAAATTCATTGAATTAAGACCAGTAACAAATAAACGTTTAGAAAAATTTTCAAAACAATATTGATGATAAAATGTTTCAAATACCATGGACACATGAGGATCCTAATATTCTTTACGGCAATATGTTCACTTTGGTTAAGAAAAAATTTCATAAGGCTTTTCCGCTTAAAACTTTGAAATTAACTCAAAAGTTGAACTTCTGAGACTGGGCTACGTCTGATATTTATAAGAGCAGAAATAAACTTTATGATGTACTACTTAAGGAAGTACAATCACTCTCAGGGTTTCATTGATTATGTTAAAAGGTACTCAAAAACATTCAAAAGTGTATGTGCAACAGCCAAATCCAATTACAAAAAAAATAAAATCATAAAATCTAATAATAAAATTAAAACGCCACGTCGTTTTTGTTATTAATAGAGAAACTGGTAAAGAAAGAACCCTCGATGATGGGATCGCACTTAAAGTAGATAATATTCAAATTAAAACAAAAGAACAGATTGCCAATACTTTTAATGAATATTTCGTTAATATACCATTAATTACTACTTCTAATTTGAATTCGACGCCAGCGGGTGCTAAGAGTTTGCTAGAGACGTGTGTGCCTCGGTGTAATAACCTGTTTACGTTTAAACATGTTGATTTTATGGATATTATAAAATGCTTTAACTCACTTAAAAAGAAAAATACGTGTGATTTATTTGGAATGTCTATTAAAATAACTAAAAGTATAATAACAGTTATCGCTCCATATCTTGCAGATATATTCAATAAGTGTATTGATCAAGGTGATTTTCCAGACCTTATGAAATATAGTAAAGTTATCCCTCTTTTCAAAAACGGCATAAGAGATGATCCCGGTAATTACAGACCTATATCAATATTATTATTACCGGTATTAAGTAAAATTTTCGAAAAAAATATTTTAGATCAATTATTATCGCATGTCAGTTTGAACAAACTGTTACATAATAATCAATTTGGCTTTACTAGGGGTAGATCAACAACGGATGCGGGTGTTGCACTTATTAGACATATAATGGAAGCCTGGGAGAAGTCGCAGAATGTTCTTGGGGTATTCTGTGACTTATCCAAGGCGTTTGACTGCGTTGAGCACCAGACGCTGGTGTTAAAATTAAATCACTATGGAATCAAAGGCGCAGCCCAAAACTTGCTACTATAGTATCTCAGTTCCAGAGTTCAAACTGTAGAGGTAAATGGTGTTAAGTCATCTAGATCTTATGTGAAAATGGGCGTTCCCCAGGGATCGATTTTAGGTCCGTTTCTATTTTTATTGTACATAAACGATTTGCCATTTTTTGTGGAAAAATTGTGTGACATCGTATTGTTTGCTGATGATACTTCTTTATTATTTAAGGTTGACCGATACAAGAATAACTTTGACGATGTAAATAATGCTCTCTCACAAGTATTGCACTGGTTTAATGTAAATAACTTAAAATTAAATGCAAATAAAACCAAATGCATTAAATTTACCTAATGTTAGAAGCGAAACCATTAGAATTAAATTAAACAATGAAAACCTAGATTTAGTTGAATCAACGATATTCTTAGGTATAATATAACCATAGATTCGAAATTGCAATGGTATCCTCATATTTCTCTGCTAGCTGGTAAACTTAGTTCAGCAGCCTATGCCATACGTAAAATAAGACAACTTACTGATGTAGCTACTGCTAGAATTGTATACTTTAGTTACTTTCATAGTATTGTATCCTATGGTATTATTCTCTGGGGATCAGCAGCCGATATTGAAACTATATTTATCTTGCAAAAAAGAGCTATAAGGGCTATTTATCAACTTAGTTCTAGAACATCTCTTAGAGAAAAATTTAAAGAAATCGGGATTTTGACTGTTGCTTCACAATTCATTTATAATTGCATACTTTTTGTTCGAAGCAATATTAACTATTATCTCAAACACAGTGACATACATTCTTTTAATACAAGGAATAAAAATAAACTCAAGATACCAAATTACAGGTTTCAGAAGGTTCATAAATCATTTATGGGTCAAGGTATACATTTCTATAATAAGATTCCTATTGATATCCTTGATTTGCCTCCTCCTAAATTTAAAATACACATTAAGAATTGTTTACTTAAGAAAGGATATTATACTGTCAATCAATATTTGAATGATAAAACGGCCTGGTTGTAATTTTACCTGTAGATAATTTTTCAAGTTATATTAAAACTAAGGCTCCCAGCCTTAGAAAGAGTTTTGAAGAGAACATTGCACTTACTCCCTTTCATATACTTGTTCATTTTGTTTTGAAAATTGTTGCTTGCTATTTTGGGACTTATCTTTGCACTTATTGTTAGTAAATTCGTTGATTGTCTATTGTTACATATTTGACATTATGTGATGGAAGTTGACCTCAACACATGTTTGCAAGCTTGATGTCAACTTTCAATTGGACGACACTGTATGAAATAAAACAGGGAGAAAAAAGCAGCCCTTGCTGAGTTTCTTGCCGGTTCTTCTCAATACAAGGTCTCCCGCCGTAGATTTGCGAACCGATGGCGTAGCTTTTCGACATTCACAAGTGCTTGTAACAGCCTAGACTGAATAAACGATATTAAATTTTGAATTTTTGAATTTTATGTATCTCATTTGTAATTTTAATTTTTAATATATTCTTAATTTGTTCAATCTGTTCTTTGTTTCTTATAGCTTTTAATTTGAACCTAGGATCCAAAAGTGTGCTCAAACAAATGGTCTCGTTTGTTTCTAAATTTCCTAACCGACTTAACATGCCATCTTTTAATTTTTCAGCGAGTTTTTTGACTGGGTCATATAATTCTTGTTTTTTAAAATTATCACATATATTGATAAGGCTAGAAGTTAAAATTATCGCTTTACTTGCAACTAAATAATTTTCAGCGCTCATTTCCACGGTTGCCTCATAAAATGGTTTTAAAATAATAGATACTTGTTCTATACATTTCCACTCCTCTATAGGTATGATTGGAAGATCAGTATCTAAATTCGGAATAGTGGCCCGCAAAGCTTCTGTTAGTTCAATAAACCTTTTCAGCATTAAGAAAACCGAGTTCCACCTCGTAGGTACAGCTTTTATAACCGTTTTTGGCTGAGCCACATTCTGTTGGTTAGATTGGTATTTAAATAATTTCTCTTTGGCTATAGTGCTCTTACGAAAGTGATTGACTATTTTTGCACTTTAGCCAAAGTATCTTTTATTTCGTCAAGGGCATCTTGGACCACGAGGTTCAATTTATGAGCATAACATCCAAAATGTGGCAAGCCATCGTCTTCGAAGTATTTGGCAGCACTCAACATATTGGATGCATTATCGGAGACAAAAAAATTGACTTTGTCGTAAATGCCCCAGTTTTGCAAAATTGACCTTATTTCTTTGTAAATTCTTATACCAGTATGGTGACCTTCAAATTCGCCACATTGAATGTGAGAACTAATTTTAATTCTACAGGATTTTCTGTCATAGAATGCGCCGTTATAGCCATGTAGCTATCCAAACTACGGGAAGTCCATGAATCGACTGTAATGCAAACTGATTTTGCATTTATTTGGACGAACGATTTAATGTCTTCTAGCCTCTTCTCGTAAACTTTAGGCAATAAAAATTCACTGACAACGTTTTTCGGTCCGGTATTTCATAATTTGGATTCAGGGCATGCGTATACTCACGAAACCCTGCGTCATTAACTATTGAAAAAGGTTGCAAGTCATAAACAATCATTTTTAATAAACTTAAATCAATATTGTTCTTTTCATCGAGCTTGATTTTTTTTGGCAGATACGCATGCATAGCTCTCTGAATTTTTTTAGGGGATTTAATATCATCCCTTTTTCCGTTAGTGTTTTGTCCGTCTGTCTCGCCACCACCACTATCACATGGTGAGTCATTACCACCAACACGAGCTTCTATCTCACGCGAAACTACTTTTTCAGATCGTGTGTTAGAATTTGTGTTAGGCTTAGAATTTAAAAAAAGATTAAAGGCCGAAACGTGATTTTGTTTCAAATGACTTTTTAAATTAGTTATTGTCGTTTTATATGACAACTGCCGCCGACAATGAATTCAAATAGCAATTTTGCTACCATCTGAGGACTTTTCAAAAAAGTTCCAAATAGATGGAGCACCTCCACCACTAGCCATTTTTGTAAGTATTGTCTTAGAATAAAATTATAATTACTATATTGTTTTCTATATAACTAATATTTACACTATTTTACACATATACAATAAACAAGTCACAAACACAAAATCTTATAAAAAATAATGTTAGAAACCAAGCAATCTATTTATCGCCCGCGATAATAAATGTTTTCCAGCTGCGACGCGACGTTGGGAAAATTATCAGTAACGAACCGCTGCTAACAACGCGCACGCGATTACTGGCTGGCCTGCCTGGTAGCGTCACGTCTAGCGCCTCCCGCTGCCCGTTGCCGCGCGCGGTCAATCAACTCAATATGTGTTATATAGCGTTAGCGTCTTGTAGCTTTATTAAATAACATGCGATACGTGCTATGGACATATAGCGCGCTATAATATGGCGCTAGACGCTATATTAACCACCTCTACTCCCGCTGCCCGCTGCCGCGCGCCGTCAATCAACTCAATATGTGCAATATAGCGTTAGCGTCTTGTAGCTTTATTAAATATCACGCGATACGTGCTATGGACAAATAGCGCGCTATAATATGGCGCTAGACGCTATATTAACCACCTCTGGTGTAGACAAGCCGATATTGCCCCAACCGCCGTGCACCCTAGATTGTCCCGGCTTATAGTCCCGTGGGGAGCGCGGCCCGATAGGGCAAGGCCGAGTCACAATACTGTATAGATAATATAACCGTGCTTGTACTTATATATTAATATTATAAATGTGAAAATGTGTGTGTCTGTTTGTCCGTCTTTCATGGCAAAACGGAGCAACGAATTGACGTGTGTTTTTAAGTGGAGATAGATGGAGTGTGACATAGGCTACTTTTTGTCTCTTTCTAACGCCTCACTCCCCTAAAATGTAGGGTTGGAAGTTTGTATGGAGCACTCCGCATTATCAAGGTAGAAAGCTAAAAATTGGCATGCGGACTATTTGTGACTAACAAAAAAATCGTGCATCTTTTTTTATGGGAATCTGCCTCCAACCACTCAAAAGAGGGCGTGAAATTTTATATGGGACTTTTCGTAATTTTCAAGGCAGGAAACTAAAAATCGGTACACAGACTCTTTGTTACAAAGGAAAAATATTTGCCTTATTTTTTTTTTGGAAATCTTCCCCCAGCCCCTAAAATAGAGGATGGAGAGACTCTCCGCATAATTAGTAAAGGTTCTATGATACAAACGAATAGATTTCGGAAATCGGAAAAAATCACTCTCAACATTTTTCCCATACGCGCGAAAAGAAGTTTATCTTAAAAAACGTACCTACTTCTAGTAATATTAGTTTATCGTTATTAAAATAATGTAGGTAGGTACATATTATGTAGGTTGGTAGAATACCAACATAAAAACCAAAAAAATAAATATTGTTATAGTTACATAAGTTTTATTGTTAAGTGTTTTAATTTGTGGATTAAAAATTCCCAGAAATCGGGAAGTGAAACAGAAGATATACATATATAAGCTACGATTATGGTACTTCTCATTGATGACATTTTTAACGGATCATGAACAACCAACGGAGAGTTTAGATAATTTAGATGAGCAAGAATTGACACAAGAAGCAGAAACACGTCAAGATAATGATAATGAAAGGAGTGCTAGTGAAGAAATGGTTAGTTCTTTAGTACTTATACATTTTTTAACATTAACACGTTTAACATTTTGTAATTCGACTAGTAGAGCACGTTTTCTTCGTATCTCCATTCGGCAGTGTGTCGGATTACGCCAGTTCGCTTGTCGATACTATCGACAGTCTCTCGTGTAATGTAAAATTTGCTTTGGCGACACAAATAATTGTATACTCCAAATCTAGAATTTATAATGCCGAACGCATTTTCGACGACATTACGTGCTCTGGAATGGCGAGAATTTTAGCGGTTGCTAACAAACGACGGGCTTCATATTCCTAAACGTTAACATAATGTTGAAAAAATGAATCTCGTTTTCTTAGTAGATGATGCTTTTCCGGACATGAACACATCTTAAGACGTTTTAGTCAGAACGAAAGTGTTTCTAATAATATGAATGAAAGATATAATCTAATAATATTAGAAACACTTTCATTAGTTCTCACCAAATCATTCATTTCATTATTTCTCACCAGTCATTTTATTATCTTTGTCTTCTAATTATTTCAAAAGTGACACTGATATTATCAAGAGAAGTAGGGCAATGAAACTTTACAGATTAACTCCCATGCAACGTCTTTTTCTAGTACAGTCAATATGTCGAAAAAAAAAATCGTTTCAGAGAAAAAAAAACATAAAGGGTAAGTCTTGTTTTTTCTGTTGGCAAATGACGTCAGTAAGCCACCTTGGTGATGGGCATGTTCAACTCGTAGGCGTTTTTTGAAAAACTCAAAAAAACCGTCAAAAATTTTTTGAAACGCATTTTTCTTATTTGTATGCATTTTAGAAACTTTTTTTCGATCATAATTGTAGAGGGCGTTGAGTACTACAATTTATGTCATTGTTGCAATCTCGCACAACAAAAAATGCGCATTGTAGGTGGCGCTAGTCTCAAAAAAAGTGTTTTTTCATTTTTTCACCCTGAAAATATCATTTTAATGGAAAACTATAAATGGAAAAGTTGTTCCGTACATAATTACCAACCACGATTGTATAAACAATTTTTTGTATTACTTACCGTTTTCAAGTTATAAATTGCGCAGGTATGAAAAATCCAATAGAGCGGTTTTTGGGCAGTTCAAGTACACATTTGCAGTGCACATTTCAATGTACGTTTTCATGATTGAAAAAAAAATAAAAAATAGGAAAACGTACATTGAAATGTGCACTGCAAATGTGTACTTGAACTCTCTCCGTTTACTAAATGTTGGTTTTTAATGCTTTAATTAAAGATTCAGCATTTGTAGTGCTTACGATTGACATCTCAATATAGTTGGAGTAGTAATCCACAACTATTAATATAGTTTGATTTCTAAAATACATACAATCTATACCTACTTTTTCCCAGGGGAAAGCAGAAATATTATGGGGTAGCATAGCTTCTGGTTTATTGGCTTTTTGGTGGCATACACATGTTTGGCAGTTTTGAATACAATATTGTATGTCATGTGTCATCAAAGGCCAAAATACTACACCTCTTGCAAAATTTTTAAACTTTTTAATGCCTTGATGACCACTGTGTATTATTTTTAATATTTCTGACCTCAATGATCTTGGTATAATCACACTGTTACCTTTAAATATTAAATCTCCAATAACATGTATATCATGTCGGCAATTCCAATATGGCTTTACCAGTTGACCGACTTGAGATTTGCTTGATGGCCATCCATTCATATAATATTCCTTAATAAGCTGGAGAGACTCATCCTTTTTGGTAGCCTCAACGAGCCACTGTTGACGTTTTTCTGAAATTGGTAAGTTTTTAATCAACAAATTTACATGAATAGCCACTTCCTCATCTAATTCATCTTCATTACTTTCAGGCAAAGGTGCACGTGAGAGTGTGTCAGCTATGAACATTTTTGAGCCTGGTTTGTACTCTACGCGAAGATCATAAGCCTGTATCTTGAGCATAAGCCTTTGAAGACGAGTAGGAACTTCAGCTAATGGTTTTATAAATAGAGTTATCAAAGAACGATGATCAGTTTCTACAGTAACTACTTGACCATAAACATATTGATGAAACTTTAAACAACCATAAACAATGGCATAAAGCTCCTTTTCTATTTGAGCCATTCGTTTTTGACTTGATGTTAGACTCTTAGATGCATATGAAATTGGATGTTTATTCTGAAGCATTACTGCTCCTACTGCAGACTGACTTGCATCTACTGACAGGACGACTGACTGTTTGACGTTGAAGTGTGCTAAGACTGGACTTTGACATATAAATTTTTTAGCTTACAAAATGTTTCTTCATGACAGGCATTCCATTGCCATTGACTTGACTTTTTTAGCAGATCTCTGATAGGTTCAGTTTCATTACCTAAATTATTAATAAATCCACCTAAATAGTTTAAAAGACCAAGGAATCTTTGAAGAGCCTTTAGACATGTAGGAGACGGCATCTCCGTAATGGCACGAACTTTATCAGGGTCTACAGTAACTCCATCCTTAGAAAATATGTGACCTAAATACTTGACAATAGAATTTCCAAAAGTACACTTACTTCTATTGAATTTCAAGTTGACTTCTTTTGCCTTCTGGAAGACTCTTTCGAGGTTTTCATTGTGCTGCTGCTGGGTACACCCATATACAAGGAGATCATCAGCGTACACAATAACTCCAGGTAGCTCACCGAACGTGTCAGTCATAATTCGATGATATATTTCAGGTGCACAGTTTATGCCATATGGTAAACGTTTAAATCGATAGCGTCCAAATGGTGTATTAAATGTGCACAACAGAGAACTAGGTAAATCTAAACACACAGCCCAGAACCCACTACTGGCATCGAGAGTAGAAAAATAAGCTGTACCGTGAAGTTTTGAACGGACAATATC